GCTATCTAGAGCAGCACCATGACGATGGAAATGTTCTCCATCTGTGCCAATCACTGTAGTAGCCACTAACCAGTGGGCATTGAGAACTTCCAATGTGGCTAATGCAACCAGGGGACTGAATTTTAGATTTTATTTTATTCATTTAGATTTAAAGAGCTGTATGTGGCTAGTAGCTACTGTACTGGACAGACAGGTCGGGTTAGAGATAGATATGGAGGCAGGAGACCCGAATAAGACAGAAGGACTATTCTGGGTATAGGGAGGGACATCTAATGTGCCCCTTGGGTGTGGCATGGGAAAGGATCACTTCCAGGGTCAGGATGAGGAAGGAGGAGTTTTGAAGGGGGAGTTTTGAAGCACTGAAGATATATCCACAGGGGTCAGGGGATGGCAAGGATACTCTACATGGAGGACAGAGGGTACAGGTGTGTTCAGGAAACCTTTGGCTGCACTAAGCTGTGTGGTAGACCACCGAAGATAAACAGGCCAGTGAGGAATGGAAGAGAAAGGAAGGCATTAAGCTGCAGGCCTGAGCAGGGTACCTCAGTCTGCTGGGCTATTGCGGGAACACACTAACATCATGTCATTTGGACACCAGGTTGGCCGTCAGAGGTGTTGGAGGTGGTTGTGTGTCTCTGTTTGCTTTCTATATCTGGTTTTTAAAATTACTTTTTAATTGTGAGGTCAGTGTAGTGTGCAGTTGTGAGGAATAATACAGAGATCCCTTGTGCTCACAACCAGGACAGAAGCACTGATGCGGTCAAGATACAAAGCAACCCCTCAGCACAGATCCCTCATGTTGCCTGTTTATAGCCAAACTCACTGGTCTCCTCCCATTCTCTGCATCACAGGCGACTGTTAACCTATTGTGCATGTTAATGTTGTTGTCATTTCAAGAATGTTATATGAATGAATTTAGTGTAATTCTCTGGAGATTTATCCAGGTTGTTGTACATATCAATAGTTTGTTTCAGCTGGGCACAGTGGCACATGCCTGTAATCTCAGCTACTTGGGAGACTGAGGCAGGAGGATCCTAAATTTGAGACCAACCTGGGCAACATCATGAGACTCCATCTCAAAAAGAAGTTTGTTCCTTTTAACTATCAAGTGCTATTCCGTGGAATGAACATACCATAGTTTGACCACTCACCTTACTGAAGTACATCCGGGTTGCTTCCAAGCTGCTATAAACATTTTATTCTCTGAGATAAAACCCCAAGAGCCCAACTGCTATATCATATGCCAGCTATAAATTTAGTTTTTAAAGAAACTGCCCAACTGTTGTCCCCAGTGACCATGCCCACCAGTAATATATAAGTGAACCAAGGTTTTTTTTCCTTGCTAACACCTGGTGTGGTCTGTTTTTTATTTTAGCCATTCTGATAGATATGTAATGATATCATATTGTGCTTTTGGTTTACATTTTGAAAATAATTAATGATGTTGAGCATCTTATCATGACTATTTGCCAAATGTATATTCTCTTCAGTGAAATGTTTGTTCAGATCTTTTCTCTACTTTTAATTGGATTTTTTTAACTGTTGGGAAAAATCAAAAAAATTTTATCAAATTCAGATACCACACAACTAATCCTTTTAAAAGATGTGATTCATGGGATTTTTATATAGTTGCAAAGTTGTGCAACTAGTTTCATCACTCAAAAAACAAAACAAAACAAAAAACTCCAGACCTACTAACTCTCATTCTCTACTCTTCCCCTCCCCTGGTCCCTGGCAACTACTAATCTCTCTTCTAGCTCTGTGGCTTTACTTATACTGGACATTTTCATAAAACTGAAATTACACAGTATGTGGTCCTTGTGTTTGGATTCTTTCATTTTGCATGAATGAAAAGTTCATTCATTCTGGTGCATGTCATTCATTTTTTATGACTGAATAATACTCCACTATATGAATCTGTTACCTTTTGTTCATCCATTCATCAGGTGGATATTTGGATTGTTTGCACTTTTAGCTATTATGAGCATTCATGTACAAGTTTTTGTGCGGACATATGTTTGCATTTCTTTCCCACATAGAGTGGTATTGCTGGGTCATACATCAACTCCATTTTTACCATTTGGGGAACTGCAAAACTATATTCCAGAGCTGCTGCACCATTTTATATTTCCACTAGCAGTGTATGAGTGCTCCACTTTCTTCACATTCTTTTTAGCATCTGTATTCTTTTTAGCATAATCATCTTTTTGTTAAATGAAATCTCATCTTCTTTAGAGAAATGTATATTCAAACCCTTTGCACAGTTTTAAGATTTTTATTGTTGAGTTCTAATAGTTCTGTATATAGTCCGGGTAGTAACCCTAGCCAGATGTATGATTTATAATTTTTCCCCATTTTGTTTGTTGTATTTTCACCTTCTTTATAGTACAAAAGTTTTAAATTTTGATGAAGTCCACTTCATCTATTTTTTCTTTTGTTATTTGTGGTTTAGCTGTCATGTTTAAAAAAAACCCTACTGCCCAGATCACAAAAATTTACATCTATGCTTTTCTTCTATGGATTTTATAGATTCAATTTTTACATTTAGGTCTTTGATACATGTTGAGTTAATTTTTATATATGGTGTGAGTTAAGGGTCTAAATTCATTTTTTCTATGTGTCTTGACACTACTTTTTGAAAAGACTATTCTTTCTCGCATCGGATTGTCTTGGTGTCCTTTTGGAAAAGCAGTCTTTATAGATGTGTGGGTGTATTTCTGGACTAATCTATATTTCTACCTCATGCCAGTACCACAAAGCTTTAATTACTGTAGTGTTGAAATCAAGAAGTGCCAGTTCTCCAACTTTGTTCTGCTTATTCACAACTGTGTTGGTTATTCTGGGTCCCTTGCATTTTTATGTGAATCTTAAGATCAGCTTGTCCATTTCTGCAAAAAAAGGAAGCTGAAATTTCGATCAGGATTGCACTGACTCCATGGATCAATTCAATCATATGCCATATTAACAGTATTAAATAGGGCTGGGGATTTAGCTCAGTGGTTCCACCACCTGCCTCGCAAGCGCAAGGTCCCGAGTTTGATCCCTGGTACCAAAAAAACCCCAAAAAACCAAACAAACAAAAAAATTAAATCTTCTGATCTTTAATATGAGATGTTTTTACTCCTTTCCTTTTTTTAAGGTTTTAATATCATTCAATGATGTTCTGTAGTTTTAAGTGTGTAGGTATTTGTTTATTTATTCATTTAGCAGTATTGGGGATTGAACTCAGGGCTTCTCCATCAGCTACATACCCACCCCTTTTGTATTTTTTATTTTGAGGCAGGGTCTTCCTAGGTTGTTCATGCTGGGCTTAAACTTGCAATTCTTTTGTTTCAGCCTCTAAGGGTGCTGGTATCACAGGCATGCACCACCTCCCCGGGCTCTTTACTTCTTTTGTTAAATTTATTCTTAAGTATTTTATTCTTGTAGACATTATTGTAAATGGAATTAATCATTCTTAGATTGCTTATTCCTACCATGTGAAAATACAACTGGTTTTTCTATATCGTTCTCATACCTTGCAATCTTGCTGAACACATTTGTTAGCACTAATTGTTCTTTTATAAGTATGTAGTCCTAAAGATTTTCTAGATACAATATTATATCATCTACAAATACTTCCTTTTTCCAGACTATATGGCTTTTTTCTTTTCTTGCTTGTCCTGGCTACCACTTCCAGAACAATGTTGAAGAAACCAAACATCCTATCATGTTCTTAATCTAAGGATGAAATCTTTCAGCCTTTTACTATGGAGTACAATACAGTGGACACTTGACTTACGAACTCCATCGGTTCCCAAGGGCTGGTTGTAACTAAGTCAATACAGCTGAGATCTGGATGTTTACCTGGGTATGCACTACTGATAACAAGAGGCAGATGTATCTTCCATTAACCTAATTAACCCAAGTTGTTTGTATGTCAGGCTGGTTGTAACTCGAGGGTTCAGTACTAGGTTTCTTTCTATGCCTTTTAAAACCTGTTTAGGATTATGTTTATTTTAAAATTATTTTATTATACATGGTAACAGAAAGTCCAAACAGTAAGATATAAAGTAAAATTCCAAATTCCATCACCGTCAATATACTTCCAAACTTTTTGTATGTATCATGTATGTATATGTAAAATACAAGTAACCTTAAAATATTGCTTGTTTTATAAACAAGATTTTTTCTCATTCAATATTCATCATCTTTCTATTCATATGACCAAGGATTTATACCATCATTTTACTGCCACCCATATTCTACTGTAAGATTGAATGATCATTTAATTCCCTCTGAATGTTTATTTCCCTTTCCCTCCAACTATTACAGACAAGACTGTGATGAACACCCTCATCAGGTCCTTGTCAATACTATGTATTGTTATGTCTTTCTGGGTTTTTGGGTTGACTGGTTGGTTTTCTTTGTCAGATAATCACTATAGGTATGGGAGCAGGGAACTAATACTATCTGAATGAGACTTTAGAAAGTTAACTCTAGCATTCCCAACTTGCTACGTAGTCTTGGGCAAATCCTGTTCCTTTTCTGGCCTTCAAATTCTTCAGTCTTGGATTGAAGAGATTTGTCTAAATTCTCAGTTTTCAAACAAGGCTGCATATTGGAATCACCTGGGGGATTTTTAAAAACACAGCTACCAGAGCACCCCCAGCCCTGTCCTGATTTAATTAGTAAGGGATATTTGACCCGGACAAGAGACTTCTAAAAATCTACTTGGGTCTAGATGATCTGCAGGTGGTCCTTGCTTAAACCTTCTTCCAAGGAGGAGCTGTATCCTGGCCACCTGCTCAGAGAGAGGCTGTTGCGGAGCAGATCTGGGCTTGAATTTCAGCTCTTTGTTCCTGGCTGTGTGATGCTTCTCTGCACTCCCATTCTCTTGCTCCTAGAGAAGTGTCTAAAATCCCCACCTAATACTCATGGCCTCTGGTTTAGATATGGTGTACATGGAATGTGTGGTGATTATTGTGATTTTTGTTTTTGTTTTTCTTTTGGTACTAAAGAGCCAGCCCCTGGGCAACAAAGTAGAAATGGAGATTGTGAGCATGCTGGAGAAAAACGCAACACTTCTCAAATTTGGCTACCACTTTACCCAGCAGGGGCCCCGACTGCGAGCATCCAATGCCATGATGAATAACAATGACCTTGGTGAGTGGACATCTGCTTTCTGCCCTGTCCTTCTGCCTGTCCCTCCCTCCACCTGCAATGGGTATGTCAGGGAAGATCCCTGACCGCTGTCTAAGAGAATCTTCTTCTTAAGTGAGCTCCTGATCCCATCTTCCTGGTTTCTGAGTTTATGCCTTGTCTCCTCCCCTAGACTGTGAGGCCCCAACTTCCGAAATAGGGCTAACTGGTCCTCAGCAGCACAAGCTGGGCCCAGAGAACACAACAGAGTGTCAGTCAGAGGAAATGAAATCTGGGAGGGCACAGCTCACCATGGGTCTTTTCTCTTCTGAGACACCTTCTCTGAGCTCCTACAGTCCTCTCCAGATCACATTATCTGGCTTTCACCCCAAGTTCCAATGCTACCAACCAATATTACTTTCAAAACCCTGAACCTAGGAAACTTCACACCGTTTCTAAGGCAAGTTGAAAATGGCAATTTCATAGTAAAATAAAAGCAGATTTTACTCATTTAATCTCAGTTAAAGGCACAATCAAATGTTTTTCTAAAAAGAAAAGAAAATGTCATATCTTTCTTGTTGAGAATGCATCACGCAGATACACAAGTCAACTAAATGAAAAGCAAAATCAATCATTCACTTCTAGATGCCAATTGTTCACAAGCTCTGCGCATAGTTATTTATTGTGTAAGTTCCTGATGGCTCTTAAAAGGAACTAGTATGGTATATAATCAAGGGAGTACAACTGAAAAGCCTACAGAAAAATAAGAAAAAAGTTATAAGCAATAGGCCTGTATTGTTCACATGATTGAACAGTATATTTAAGCCATAGTCTCCTAAAACCACACCAGGAACAAGACAAACCTAGTCACATTATTCTTATTATAGGAAAGAAGGAAGCATGACTTAAAAAAGAAAAGCTTCTTTCTTGGTTAAATTATGAAACAAGTATGTGTTTTAAAGGACAATGTTTTCAATGAGTTATTCCTTCAACTTCACACTTGCTCTATACACAGCTCTTTCTAGTTTTCAATCCTCAATAAATTGCAAAGAACCTAAGCCTGATTCGCAGTGCAACTGTGTTGCTCCCTGGTATCTGAGTTAATGTTAGTGCACGGGAGAATGGAGGTAAGTGTGTAGCGTACACACACAGGGCCAGGTACTCACGGGCCCAGTGTGCACAGAGAGCCACTGTGCTCACACTCACACTCATACACTCTTTAGATTGAGTTACTATACTGCATGAACATTTTGTCAAAGGGCTCTGTGGCACCGGGTGTTGAAAATGCAGGTTCTTGCTTTTAAACATATCAGAGCCCAGGGGCCAGAGGTCATTTTTTTCCCTAAAGCCTCAGGTCTAGAAAAGCTCACTGAAAAAAAAGTACCTGGTGTTTTGGTTTATCTGAAGTATCCTTATTTGAAATAAAATAAGAACAAACAGATAACTAAGAATCATAGTTACTATTGTCATATCACAGAGGTGATAGCTAAACAAAATCATTAAAGCAATCAAAATGCTGTAGATCCAGCACTTAAAAACTCAGAGTCTTAGTCTAAGAGCAATAATTTCACATTTTTTTTCTCCCAACTATAGATTAAATTTATGTGCCTCTTGGGGCCTGCCTATCTCTGGGATAATCCAGTTCTGTCTTTCCTGGAATGATGGTCTGAAAGTTTTTTTTTCTTTTCTGGGCACAAAGGATCCAGATGACTAGTGCTCAGGCCTGTTGCATGGGATATCAGAATCATCTAGGGGCTGGACAAAAGGGTCCTTGAGAATGTTCCCAATCCTAGAATCTGAGCTTCCAAAACTCAGGCCTGACTCCCATCACAAGGTCTCTCAAAGGCCACTTTGGAGCCTAGAATGCTAGAGTGGAAGGGACTTGGGGCTCAGTCTCCAAGTTCTTTCCTGAAAAACTGAACCCTGGGGTGGGCTGGAAGTGGCTGGAGGCCATGGCTCATCTAGGTCACACCAGTTGTTAGTTACAGCAAGAATTTTCTGAGTGATTTTGGTGTGCCCAGGGTTGTGCCAGGTGACAGAGAGGTAGCAGAAAGGCCAGTTCTCTGACTCAAGAAGCTTTACAACCTTGTAGGGGAAAAAGACTCAAAGGCATTCCTAAAAATTCAAGAATGCCTACACACTCTGTCCAAACAGTGAGGAAATGATTTATGAGGCCGAAGCCAGTTAGGCAAAGCACCCTGGTGGGTGGGGCTTTAGCCAGCCTTGAAGGGAAAAGATAGGTTGACTGAAGACCAAGAGGAGTGCCTACAGGGGCTCTAGGAAGTGAGAAGGTGTGCTCAGGGTACAAAGGTAAGGTGGCTGACCCAGTCTACCCAATGGCAGAGACAGGAAGATCAAAAGGGGCTGGAGGAATTATTAAAAGGAGTTCAACTTGGAAGGAAAACTAGTTCACAAAGCAGGAAGGGAAGAGCATTGGAGCAGAAGGAATAGCATGAGCAAATATGTGCCTATTGATAGAATATGGCTGGGTACCTATCGGGGAGGGTGAGCTTCAAACCCTTTAACACTAAGCTCAGAACCTTAGCAATGAAAGCAGGTGGAAAGTGGAAACCATGGCAGTTTCCTGGACAGGGATGCCAGGTGATAAAATGGACTTCAGGGTTAACCTAGGGACCTATGTGTAGCTGCTCCCTTGGGATTTCCCACCCAAGGAAGGAGAGCAGAATCTCCGTGATCACAGGTCACATTCACATGTTACTTGCAGAAGTACGGTTTCTAGATTTAAAAGCAGACTTGTGCCTTCCTGTTAATTTTCACAAGAGAAACACTTCTGATTCCCATAGTGGATTGGCTTCCTTCTGTAGAACTGTTTCTCCAACATAGTATCTCCCTCCTGCTCTGAGTGCTGTACAAAAGCAGACAGGATTGCCTGTTTTCCAACGAATCACGGTTATCATAAAAGCCTCCTGCCATCCTCCTCAGGACTGTCGTTGAAGCAGGGAGCACAGACCAGAAGGGGCAAGCCTCCCTCATGTCTTCACTTGGCCTGTCTCAGGGCTGGGTCAGGGCACATGGGTAGGGCCACTTCGGGGCTTGGGCTTTGCCTGCCTAGGACCCATCCTGACTGGTTCATCTTTGCTCCTTCCCTCCCTGTGTATTGAGCTCTCTGCAGACAGTGTCCCATGGGTGAGTGCAGGACACCATGCTGTGGGTGTCAGGCAGGAGCAGAGCTGTAGCTCCCATCTACATTTTTCCACACAGTGCCTCAGATGTCTGCTATCTGAACACTATAGCAAATACCGGGCAAGTGCTGACCTCTGGCCCTTTAAACTTGCCACCAGAGCCTTCTCTTAAAATGTGAATTGCAGCCTCCAAGTTAAGGAGTGGGGTGGGATGCAGAGGAGTGTGGAGAGAAAACAGCAGAGAACAGCCCTTCCCAGGAGAGTTGCTCTTTTACTGTATTCTCCTAAAAGACCTTTCTAACAGGCACCTTAAACAAAGAGTTCTTTAATTTTATTAGAAATTGAAATTTATACTTACATATATTTCTATAGTGATGTGATGATTTATGAATACAATGTGGAATAATTAAATCAAGTAATTGACATACCCATCACTTCAAATATTTACCATTTTTTGGTGGTAAGAAATTTCAGTTACTTTCTTAGCAATTTTGACTATAAAATGCATCATGCTATGCAATAGGTCTCAAAGAAAGTACCCAATTCCTGTTCCTGTTGTGTGAGGCCTGTGCCCCTTGACCTTCACCTCTCCACTCCTCCACCCTCCAGCCTGTCACACCATTCGACCTCTACGAGCTCCGTTGTTTTAGACTCAGGGTATATGTTGGAACATGTGGCTTTGGTCTTTCTGTGCCTAGCTTATGTGCTCTAGCTCCATCCCTGTTGTGGCAAATGGTGGAATTTCCATCTTTTTTAAGGCAAAATAGTATTGTGTATATATCCCACATCTTCTTTACCCACTCATCTGTCAATGGACATTTAAATTAATTCTATGTCTTAGCAATTGGGAATAGCACTACAATGAACATAGGAGTGCAGATATCTCTTTGACAAACCCAGTAAACACCCAGAAATGGGAAGGCTGGATCACTTTTTTCATATTTCCCCAAAACCATTTCAGGAAAGGGTGCTACTTTTCCCACAACCACTCAAGCCAGATCTCTGGGCTTCCTCTGGACACTGTCCCCACTCCTGCCAGCCAGGCACCTTGCCAACCCCAATGCCTGCCTCAGGGCAAGCCCATCACATTCACCTGGCCTCCCCCAATTTCCTCAGGGCCTGAGGTTCCTGCGGGGCAAGGGCCTTGCAGCAGGGCTCATCCCAAAGCTTGTCCTCCCACTCCCCTCTTAGAAGCCTTTCTGGGCTCCTACTACTCCTGGGCTCAACTCCTCCACATGGCTCCCACGTCCCTTAACAGTCACATGGCACTTCCTGAGTCAGGCACTGTTCTGAACACTTCCCATCTTACTAACTTACGTCATCCTCTCCACCACCGCATGCTATGATTATCCTCATTTTACAGTAAGAAAACAGGTCTGCAGAAGTAGGAAGTTGCCCACTGACTGTGGGCAGAACTGGGATATGAACTGACAGTATGACTGTAGAGCCTGTAAGAACCACCTCATGAAGAGAGGGTCCCATCTACAGTCCCTCACTTGATGAGTCCTGCCAGACTCATTTCATGACATCCAGACAAGCCAGTACCACCCATTCCAGGTACCCTACCCTGAGTGCCCCCAAGAAAGCCAGGAACAACTTGCCTTTAGAAGGCCATTACTCTGAATGTCCCCCTACTTTCCCATCCTCTACCCTTTTATTTACAGTTCAGGTAACTTGTCACCTGCCTATCCTGGAGAGATCTGACTATTTCATTCATGTGCTTCTCACACCTCACAGGGATCTACCAGGGTACTTGTGATATTTTATCAAGGTTACTGTTTGTACACACTGGCCCTGTTACGCTGTATCTTTCTCTCTGATTCCTGTATTTGGCACATAGGAACACCCAGAAAACGCTTCTGAATTATATAAGTGAATAGAAAGGGGTTCACAAAGACATGACTGACAATTCAACTGGCCAGAAGAGCCTCATGACTCCTCTCTGTACCCCAACCATGGGCAACAGTCCTGGCTCTGCTGATGGTTGTCAGGGTCTGTAGCTCCTTTCCTTCTCCAGAAGCAAGCTAATCCTCATGAGTCAGATAAGATAGGGAGACATAAGCCCTATGGAGATGAGGTCCAACTGTACCGAGGGAAAGGCTAGACTGAGGCTTGAGTGACAAGCTTTGGCTCTGTCTGGTACTAGTTTTACTGCTTTAAGCAAGAAACCTACCCCTTTATCTTCCTTTAATCATTATAAAGTGGGAATGTCAACATGTACATTCCAGGATTGCTGGAAGGGCTCAAATGAGGTACAGAGCATAACAGAAGCTGGACTTTCCTGGCATGTTTGCTTGCAAACATGAGGATGCTGAGCACCTGACTCACAGAAGCTCTCTCCCCTCACTTTGGGCAAACTTCTGCTATTTAAGTTTTGTTCTCCTATATCTACTCCCAAGCTGTCACTCTCTGATCACTTTGAAGAATTAGGCTGGCCAATATCTTCCCTCCAACAGATTGCCAGCCCAGATTTGTACTCATTATTCTTTTGACCTGGGGTGAAGGGCAATGAGTAGCAGTTCAGGCACACACTGATACCTGGTATAATTGTGTGCCACTGAAGACTTCCCCAAAGCACCCAGCTCCAATTTGGCAAGCACACCTCTCTTGTGGTTCTGTTTATATGCTTAAGGGGTCATGCAACAAGCTGGTTTGGTTCTTGCTGCAGCTTCTGTGGATCAATTGGTGACTCCAGGTCTATTTGTTTCACCTAGGGAACTAAAGACATCTAAGAATAGACTTTCTGCCCTTTAGCGATAGCTTCTAGTCTCCCATACCGGCGGGCCCTTTGACTATCACCTGTCTCTATAGACTCTCTTGACCTTTTTCTCTTGTTGATCTAACTTGCTAGTTGGTCTTCATTTGGCAATGCTGTACTTCATTTCAACATTCTCTGGTTACAACAAAGGGACCCCACTGCCCCTCAACCGGAAAATTTTTTCTTCAAGCTAATGTCTCCAGCTCACAACCTTCTGGGTAGTGCTTTTTTTTCCCCCCCCAGAGCTCAGGATGCAACCCAGGGCCTCCTCACACATGCTAGGCAAGTGCTCTACCAACGGAGCTATATTCTGTGGGGCCTCAGTAAAGGAAAAATGGTCAAGTCCAGTGGAGTGGGGCTGTGTGGTTAATTTACAAGAGATCTGTGGATGCACCTTCACTACCACAGACCCTCATCAGTAAACATGGAAAAACTGAGTGCACCCTCACATGTAACTCAGAAAACAAGACTTCTGACTTTTTTTCACAACAAATGAGCAAGAGGCTTCACAAGCTTTTTCGAGCTACAGTGGTACACTGTGGTAATTCTTGGTGTGGAGGTACAACTGGCTGATATCTCATCTCCATTCCTTTCCAGTGAGGAAGAGGAGGCTCGCAGACTTGACGGGGCCCATCATTCCCAAATGCCGCAGTGGTGTCTAGTGTGTGGAGGTGAACACCATCCTTTTGGACTGGACATGTTCTACTGACAATCTGTGCTCTGCAGTGGAGACCAGAAGGCAAAAACACTGGCAGAAATCTTTTGTGGTTTAGTTCTTATGCACTAAGGTTTTAGGTTAACTAGTGATTGCAGTTGAAAATTTTATAAAATATAGGTAATGTGAAGTTTTTCTTTAGTCACAGAAGTTGTCTGATTATTATTTAAAAACAAGCCCTCAAACTGGCAGATCTTCCTGCAGATGATGTGACAGTGACAGTGACTTAACCCCAGGAGCCCTGATTGGTGGCCTTGCTGTGTGGTCTTTCAAGAAATTTATAATACAATGTAGCACACGTAAACAAACAGCACACTCACTCTTTGACCTGTTTTGGAAGTATTATAAAACACTTTATTACAAATTTGATCTTAGCTATTTAGCAAAAAAGAACAGATAACCACTCTTTATTTACTTTCCTTTAAATTTTAAGAACCTCAAGATTAAAGTTGCCAAATCGAGTACTCCATCAAAAACACAACTTTACTCTCAAGAAAGACAGACTGAAGACACAGAGCTCTGCCAGGAAACAAAAACACAAGAGATTTCTTTTGCTGGACATGGGAAAAACTACAGAAAAAGGCAACGATGAAATTTCAAGATTCAAAAACCATCCCATACAACAATCATATTCCTCAGTGTTCTTTATGAATATCTGGGATGTATTTATAATTGAACACTGGAGTCAGAAAGAACAATTTCCTTAGTGAATGGATGTGAAAACCTATGGCCAAATACTTGAAGTACAGTACCTTTCTATTCCACACAGTGGGCAAATGGCTTCTATAAGGCCACAGACTACAAGGGTGAGTTTTCAGTCCATTGTGGCTATTGTACTTGGCATGGCCAAACTTAAAGACTTCAACAACCTGTCTCATCACTTCCTAGACAAATCAATGCTGTCTTAAGCCTGCAAATGAAATGTCTGAAGGACAAAAATGCAGAAAATCTAGGTGTTAAGAAATCAGAAAATCCTGGTCAAACTACCTGAAGATGATTATTCAGAAAATGTAATTTTCATATTTCTACTGCACGCCCCCCCTCCTTTTTTTGGTACCAGGGATTGAACTTGGGACCTTACGCTTGCGAGACAGGCGCTGGAACCACTGAGCTCTACTGCATCCCTTTTTAACACCACACACATCATTTGGGAGCCAGCAAAAATGTTAAGCCACACTGCCCTTGTGCCTTTTAATATACCACAGTGCCAGTTTAACTAGTATTTCTGTTTGCCGCTTGGGAAGTTATTTTCATTAGGGATTCAGCAGATCTTATGATAACAGACAATGCCAAAGAGCTGATGAGCACAGACTATGAGGCTTCTGATGAAAAAGGCAAAGTCTTGCACACTGAACTATAATGATGTAGACAGTACAGGGTAACCAGAGGTGGAGCCAGGGCCTAACCACTATGAAGAGTGTCTACTGAGGCTAAAAATGGGGCCAGGAGTGGCACCATGCTGCAGGGTAGCCATCCCCACTTGGCTTCTCCTTGAAACACAATTGCAGCTGCATTCTGCATCACTGGAAACTGCAACATAATATTAAATCTGTTGGTCTATGTGTGGCTGTGTATGTGTTTCTTCGTTCCTGTGTGACAGAGAAAAGTGCCCACATGCTGGCCACAATGCTGGATGGTCACCATGGCATGACCTCACTAAGGGAAGTGTCTTGTGTCCCAGGTGCTGATCTAAAAACTACTGTTCAAAAGCCAGTGCCATGGAGCTTATCTGCATCTCTCAGAGACAACTCCTAAAAGCTAAGAGAGCATGTACTAGGGGAAGCAAATCTATTAGGACGAAAGGTCTCACAGAAACAAAATCAATAAAAAATGAAGGTGGGCCATTCTTTTAGGCTGTCTCCATCAAACGAACCATGGATGTAGACCCAAGGTTGGCAAACTTCTTTGTGAAGGGGCAGATTATAAATATTTTAGACTCTGTGGGTCATATGTTCTTTGTTGCAAGTACTCAATTATGCCACAAATCACAGGTAAAGGAATGGGTGAGGGTTTTCCAAGAAATTTTATAAAAGCAGGAAGAGGGTCAAACATCACAATTTACAGACCCCCTCAAGTAGTCAGAGGAAGATGGCAGGTGAGTTAGTGGCTTGGGTTAGGAGTTTACTCCCTATGCCAGCACTTTACATTTCTGCCATCGGGACTGACAGGTCTGCTAAAAGGGTAATGCCTACTAACAGCCCTACTGCATGGCAGAAAATAGGCACAACACAGTCGCCAGGCCGAAGGCTCTATACCTCAATAGCTTTGAGATCCCGTGCAGTCTGCCCTTTTCCCACACTCTTAGTATCTTCTGAATCAGATCCACACTCAACTTCCTCTCCCATCCCTGTGATGCATAAGTGGCCAACACTGTGACCAGTTTGCCACGATGGTATTGACCAGCACTGAAGTTCTCAATTTCAGTTTCTTTCACCTTGACATTTTGCTATGCACAGTTGCCCCAAACCTCTGTGAAGGCTTGGGGAATACTGACTATGCCACTCATACAAGCAAAGGGCCATCCTCACTAACAGTGGGCCCTGGCTCTAGGCTTACAGGGAGTTGTACATGCTGTGAGAGTTCCCTTGGGATGCGTGGCCGCCGGGCTGTACACTCACATTCCTCTTTGAAGCTGTCCTGGGTAAGGCCTGAAGCCTGCCTGCTTCCTTTGTCTTGGCATGTGACACAACAGGCTGTGAATCCTTGTCCTTGACAGGCAGGGCAGGTCAAAACGAGCTGGCGGCACTGGAGAGTAGAGCAGAGTTTATACTGGTCCCACTGGGCTCCACAGTATGAACATGCTAGGGAAGAAAAAAAAAAGCCCCTGTTAAACATACACACATAGACAAACACATCTCCAGTTCCCAAATATAACTCTTCACTCACCAGAATCTAATACATTCTGTTAGCCCTGGGGAAATTTCTAAATAGTAAATCTCTTCTCTACTAACAGAAAATGCTGTCCCTTATTTTAGTCTGGGGAAGAAGGGATTTGCTTCTGGCAGTTGTCTTTCTGAATCCAGTACTCCCTGACCCATTTTTCTTTTTCCCATCCAGAAAATGGGTATCAATGCTTTGCTTTTACATTAGCTATCTCCAAACTGGCCAATGCCTTGTTAAAGGATCTTTTCCACTAGATCATTCCCTTTTCCAGTGAGACAACACACCTGAATACAAGATGACTCCACATTTATATTCAGCTTCTGTAGTGCACACCCTCTCTCCTGGGCCTGAGTCTCTGGCTGTGGCCAGGACACCTGACCACCTGATGCACGTTATCTTCTTTCTCACCCTGTTGCTTCCTGTCACCACTGATAACATCAGCCCTCCTCAGGTCCCCTCACCTTGCGTACAGAAGCCAATTTGGGGCCTCTTCTCCCCTTCGCACTCACATGCAGGCACTCATCAAGGCCCACCAGTCTTCCTCTAAAATCTCTCCAATCCACTCTTTTCACTTATTTATAATTCCTACATCTAGCTCCAAAAAAGGTCAGAAATAGTTTTCAATAGGAGATAAATATATGGCCATTATGCATTAAAAAGTCAAAAAGGAAAGAACACACTCAAACTCAAAATTTTATTCATTAAATCTAAGAGATAATTCTACCTCAGCCCCTATTCACAAGAGTTCTAGAAACTGCAGCAGCCACTGAGGGGGTCTGGGGCAAGAACCACCACTCTGAAGGATTGTTTCTATCCATCTTTCACTGACTTATCAGTGCCTGATTCACCCCAGTGTACCTGTGTGGGATCAACACTGCAGCCAACCCAGAAGCTGTCTGTGCTGGCCACCCCTCTAAACACCCCTGACTCCAGCCCTGGGTTCAGCTCTCACCTTAGAGTGTCCCACCCATCATTAAAAAGTAAGTGCATGCTGCATATGTCTGTAGACCAGGGATTCTTTCTTTTATTTTCTGCCATGGATTTACTTGGTAGTCTGGTGAAAACTATAGACTCTGTCTTAGAAAAATTATTTTAAATGCACAGAATACATTACAAAGAAAATACACAGAAATACAAAGTATCAAAATGTCTTTCAAAATCTGTGAAATAGGCATTATTTACTAAAACACTAAATAGACTCAGTGGTGAACTTAATAACTATTTCCACTATAAGGCAATGATGAATATAAATGCTATTTTGAGATACAACAACTGTAACATGATGTCAAAGTACTGTGAATTACATGAATTCTCCTGAAGACAAAGTCCCACGTACATCTAATAGAACTGGTTTGTTGACTATATTCATAATTAAAGGAAATGCTTAATTTTCATAAGGAGTTCCTGAAAACAAAAATTATTTTCCCATCCAAATGTACAGAACCCTTGAATATATATTGACTCCAGGTTAAGGCCAGCTCTTGGCAGGCAGGTGGGCCACGTGAGCTTATGCCTACTTTAAAGGACTTGCATGGCTAATAGTACTTAGAACAGCTAGGAGCCCACCACAGGCCTCCTCATTTTCCCTTTTTTTTCCTTCAGGCAATCAGTAATGGCTTGCCCTCCCTGTACAGCATTTCTATAATGGTGAATTGATGGTGTGAGGGGTTTCAGTGGGGGCTCTGGCCTGTTTTGACCTACCTGATACCACATCACTGTTGTAGGACAAGGCATAACGTTCATCAAAAACAAACAACTTCCCCTTGTAAAAGCCATCAGGAAATTCTTCTAAGTACTTCTGGATACCACCCTTGAGCTGGAACACCTCCTTGCACACTCCCTGGGTGTGGAAAAACAAGAAGAAACCTGAAGAAATGCACAGAAACCTAAAAGCTCCAAAGTGCCCAAGTGAAGAACTCTCTGTTTGTGCTGTCAGCCAGGGGCTTATGGCTCCCCCTGCAGGACCCAGGGTGATCAAGCGGTCAAGGAACAAGCCGGCCAGACCTCGCCTACTGGGGGGGATGGGTGATGAAAACAGTCAGGGCCTTCAGGCTCTAAAATCCTGGGAAGCTCAACTATTTTTGCTGCCCCCTAAATATAGGAAGACATCTGCTGGGACATGTGATGTTACTGAATTTGTTCTTCTCAGGATCAAGCAAAAGGATTAGGGGCAGGGAGATGTTAAACTAAGCTTTCTCTTTTGTACTTGATAAGTCTCTAAGACTAAGTGCTTTTCACATCTTGAGATTTAAGAACCCTAGATTTTGCACTCTGCTGGGACCATACAAGGGAAAATAACCCCTTGGGGTGGCTGGGGATGAAGGAGGGATTGAGGAGTGGAAAGCTTCACACCAGCTATTGGTGTATCATTCTTCACCTCAAAAACTGCAGTGCTTACAGGGTGATGGCTCACCTGGGCTTTGAGATAGGCTGAACCACGCTCACAACGGATACCCCCAGTGCAGTACATCAGCACTCTCTTTTCTCTGAAAAGCTCTAGATTTTTGTCAACGTAGCTAGGGAAGTAACTGAATTTCCTGATGTCTGGGGCTAAGCAACCCTGGAATCTTCCCTGTAATACAGGAGTGGCAAGAAAAATTATCAGAAAAACATACCTGGAAGGAACAAAGGTTCTCATTGTGTCAAACAACTCCCACTTTAGCAAAGAGTATTTTCCAGTTGTTGTTCTCATCTCAAACTCTGACCTTTTAACCAAGATCTGGAACTAGAAACAAGGCTCGTGGGCCATGAGTCACCTTCCTACAGAGTCCTCAGGGGAACTGGAGAGGCTACCTGGGGCCAACTTTACAAGATTGTTGACATGTCAAAGGTAGGATGTGTCATAGAAGTCAAAAACTATATTATGTGCCAACATGTCTTTGATTCATATTTTCTTAAAACTTTCTCACAGATCTTGAGTTCAAGGGCTTGGGTTTTCTTTGAAGCTGGTAGCGATAGAAGGAGATCCATGTGGCCACAAATACCCCTGAGAAAAAAGTCATGCTGTGGGAAGGGGGAGACCTACCATTTCACTAAACTCAATTCTGGTTCTTACTTACTATTTTGCTTTCATAGAAGTTTCTGCAATCCAGTAGGATAGTATCGCTTTGTTCTTGACTTGCCTGAGATAAAAACTTTTCTACTTCTTTATGAAATTCAGCTGGGGATAAATGGATCCCTAGAGCAAAACCAAAAACTTATGTTGAAACAATATAAATCTAATCCCAACTGGCCTAACCTGACTTATGTGTCAGCTTCCATTCCATCCACACCTCTTTTTTATTTTTTTAATTGTATTTTGAGACAGGGTCTCGCTATGGAGTTCAGGCTGGCCTTGAACGCACTACATAGTCTGGGCTGGCCTCAATCTCATGGTAATCCTCCTGCCGCAGCCTGCCAAGTGCTGGGATCACGGGTATACACTACCACACCCCACTATCCAAACTTCTTCTCATAAGTACAACTGTCTCCTAATAACAATATTTGATGATCACGAGAAAAGAATTTAGTAATTCCAGGTATCCTCAATCTCCCTCCTGACATGAGGACTACAGGGATCTGGTAGTTCAGACATAATTAGTTAAAAGAATTTTGTACCCTTACACTTAACCCAATCCTGTAATAAAAATTAGATAACTGGGATCTCTTTGGGTTTGTGGATCCATCATATGGTCACTAGTGGGTCAGGAAATGACTACTGTTCTATTGTCATTGTGCACAAAGGAGCTTTGGCATATACGTGCTTGACTATAGGTTTTAAATGTTCTAAACCAAGTTGAGCCCAAGTTCTAGGCTAAGAGCCTTGGCTTAGGACAGCTGAGAACACAAAGTTGGAATATGTTTTTTTTAATGCAAAAAGCATAAGAATGTAGAAGTGTAAGTCTTCCATCCACTAAGAAGTGTCTACATTTGTGTGCATGAGTAAAAGAGAAAAGGGTTGAAAGGGCTGACAACAGGGATGACTTATGAGAAGAAAGGCGAGAGAGAAAAGGATAGAAGAGCTAGAAGATGGGGGACTGCAGGTAAGTATTAAAATACAAGAGGACAAAAAGGAAAGAACCTCACTATGGAAGAGCCCTTTTCCTCTTGACAGTCCAGGATAGAAATATTTCTGTACCTTTGGGGCTCCGGGCATCTATCTCAGTAGATTGTGAGAAACTCGGGGGAAATGACATTGGGATTTTCATGGTGCATGTAGGTGGGCCTCTGGTGACTCAGCCTCTGCCCTACACAATCAAAGGAGCCTCACTCCACCCAAAGATGAACCCCAATAGCTGCAACAATGCTCTGTACCCTGAAGAGACCAGAGGCCTCAGAGCATAGGCAAGGAGTCTGGGTTTCTTCCTATCCAAGCTAGGATTATGAGGAGAATATAACCAGGCAGATGTTATTTAAGTCAACATCACATATTTACATGGATACCAAAACAATGGGGTAAAAAGAGAGGTTCAAAAATGTGATGAGAAGTATGGAAATCCACTAAGACTTTTCTACCTGCAGGGATCCAAACCTGTTCCCTGTGGCTGCTGTTATTGCTATTGCTCTCCTGGCCCTGAGAAGACCTAACTGTACAGTGACCTGGACTGACATGTTTAATAAAAGAGGTCCCTTTAAACAACCTGTGTCAAATGAAAGCAGCAGAGCACTATCAGGAGCTCACTTTCCCTTTAAGCTCCTAAGCAGTGTCCTGTAGCACCTAAAAAGCCTGTTGTGGTCATATTGCTTTCTGCCTAGAGGGAGACACCAAGCTCCTATCTCCTCATGCATGAGTACCTTTTTCCCAGATGCTTGGATCTTTCTATTTCCCCATGGCTTAATTCTTAGCCTTCTTTTAAATATGTACTAAAAAATGAATACCTTAGTGTCAAGGAGTCCTTTCTACTTTCTGATGAAAGAAGGTAACACTACCTATAAAATAGACTGGGGACAGAGGGAAGGGGGCAGGGAGAAGGAAGAAAATCAAATCTGAATCTGATCAAGTCTGAATCTGATCAAGTCTCTAGTCCTGACCTGCCTTAACATGGTAGCCACTGTCACCTGTGGCTGACAAGTACTTGAAATGTGCTTTGAGATGTGCTACAGTAAAGGTGACAAACTAGATTTCAAGTACTTAGCATAAAAAAAAGTAAACTATCTCAACAATAATTTTTATTCTGATTACATGTTGAAATGATAATATTTTGGATACACTGCACTAAGTAAAGCATATTACTTATATTAATTATTTTTATTTTTATATGTGGCTATAAGAACATGTAAAATTACATTAAGTGATTCATATATTTCTTTTTTTTTTTTTTTTTGTACCAGGGATCAAACTCAGGTCCTGGTGCTTGCATATATTTCTATTAGCACTGTTCTAAATATATTTAAATATGTAAATAAATAAATAAATATATTTGCATATATTTCTATTAGCACTGTTCTAAATCTAACTACCAATTTACAGGAAATACAGTGAACAAGGGAATATTCCATTGGATGCAATCAGCATTATCCAGATTATGAGAAACTCTACAGGCAAAATTACCCAGTTCCTTTAAAAACTAAAGTGCAAGGGGGAAAAAAGATGGAAGTGAGTCTATAAAGACAGTTAAAGAGACATATTGATGAATCACAATGAGTTTTAAATGAATCATAATGGGAATTTTAAAATTAGGACACAACAGAATTAACTGAGTAAACATTTGATATTAAGAAATTATGGCTAAAATATTTGATAAGTTTTACAGTTTACAGTTTTAAAAAATATTAATCATTTAGAGTTATCTACTAAAGTGTTTGTAAATGAGACGACATGACATTGGGATTCCCTTCAAAATGATCCAGGATGGGAGACTTGGACAGGGTACAAATCAAAGCTGGCCATGAGGGCCAGGGATTTAGCTCAGTGGCGCTGTGCCTGCCTTGTAAGCACAAAGTCCTGAGTTCAATCCCTGGTACCACAAAAAAACAAAAAACACAAAGTTGGCCTTGAATTAGTAACTGCTAAAGCTGTATGGAAGTTCATTGTACTATTTCCTCTATTCTTTTTAATATTTGGGAAATTTTCATAGTAAAAAGTTTAACAAAAACAAGAAAACACACCAAACAAATGTCTTTCATTTATCTATAATACCACAGGGAAGAGGATAAAACATTCTACAACACTGCAAACTGCTTTGATATTAAAAGCCACTTGCTTTCTGTGGCAAAAAGCCTATGTGCTCTATTTTGCTGATGAACTGTTTACAAGCAATAATTACATTCCTCCCAAATTATTGTCTTTGGAAAAAGAAAACAACTTCTTGTCGAACATTACCAAGAAGAATAAGATGGGTCATTCTAAGGAGGAGTCTTCACTTACCACAAACACCATATATAAAAACCAATTTAATGTGCTTGCTTCAGCAGCACAGATACTAAAACCAATTTAAGCACTAGATGGACCCAAACGTTAGCCACCCCCCAGCTACTTAAAAGAGAAGATTCATCATGGCTCTTAATGACCGGTGTCTAATTTTCTCATTTGTCCATTAACTTTTATTCCTATGGTGAAAAGCCCACTTCTTTTTCTAAAAACAAGCATACCAGACTTCTTGTAGGAGATCTTACTGGGGCTGATCCCCATGGGCACGATTTCTTCAAATACACCAACACGCAATTCTGGAAAGCAGTGAGCTCCTCCTTTGCTGGTCTAGCCAATGAGAAACGAAACAGAATACTGTCCCATTGCCAGTTGTAAGACAAGTGCTAACATAAGAATTAAAATCTGTTTTGTAATATGATGAAATCATACGAAACTTCAAATTAGAAAATTAGGAAACCTCAGTGGGTCAGACAGGTAGGACCCAGAATGTTTCAGATAATTCAATATATTAATAAGTACTGCATATTTCTAAGGCATGCAGAAATACTGTATTTCTATGGCTATGAGTATTTAAGCAAAAAACCAAAGAACCACCGAGTAATTCTAATGTGCAATTACACCCTGACTTTTATTCTAGAGCCTTATCCCACCAGCCCGACCATCACCTTATCACTTAATGTGATAAAGCATAGTCACTCAAACACAGCAGCTCAGCTGTGAGAGCCAGCGGCTTCACTCCCCCATGTGTTATGTGCATCTTTTAATTCCAGGTTTACTAAAAAGATAGTAAATCACAGTGATCTGCTAAGACAATCGGGGAGTCTCTCAAGTGAACAAATATATTCAAGTCTTAAGAGTCCAAGGCTGTGTAGCTAAAACATCCTTATTGTATATGAAAGGAGACTCAGGTCGAGAGTGGGCACTAGCTGGCACAAGGTTATGCGGTGACTCACACTGGAAGAGCAGGGATGAGCATGCCCCTTCTACTGCAATGTCCTGTAACATAAAGGATAAAGAAGGCGTATATGGCACTGCTTAGTTTTCTACAGTGATCTCTTCTTCAGTGACCTGTACTGAGGCAGAAAACAGCCAGCTCTAGATCTTTTTCATTTTAGATTTCTCTTACCTTAAAATCATCCTTACACAGATAATCTTTAAATAATGGGCAAGAAAGCATGACTTCCACATAGAGTCTGGTGGCCAATTTGCTCCCACCAACTGTCCCATTGATCCCTTCAGTAGCAATTCGAACCTGAGGCACAAGATAATGAGAAACAGGGAACAGAGCACATTCTTTGTTATCATTGGGTTGATGAGATTAACAGGAAAAGTTGAGCTGCTACATTACCAGACAAAAATACCTGTGTTTCATATGAGGTATTCAGTTCATGCATGTAGAACAAGACAATCTGACTAAAATTTCTGGAAAGCTCATCTGCTATAGAGCTCCAGGCATTCAACAGGATGTGGGACAAGGAAGTAGGAAGCATATGCCACTTCTACTGCACAGGCCATTCCCCACACACAGAGACAGAGCTGAACTAGCCGAAGGGTTAGGAAATCCACTCCAAAACAGTTTGACCGAGGCAGTTATAAGGCACATACTTCTATGTGACTGTTTTTAGGCAGGCTAGCAGATTCTTTCCTATTTTATTTTAATCTCAGAGCCCAAATAAATGGCAAGCCCATCTGTCCCCTATATATCTGGGACAGAATAATCTCTACACTCATGTCTTAGATTTGCAATTGCTATGATTCTTAAACAGAACATTTTCAAAAGAGCTCCTTGGTAAGGAAGGCCTTATACCTAAGAAACTGAAATAAACAACAGCATTTATTGGGCACTTGCTAGAAGACAGGAGCTTTATACTATAATCTGGGAAGGGATCATAATCACCATCTTAGAGAAAAGAAGATACAGATGCTCAGAGAAATCAAGGAACTTGCCCAAGAGCAACGAGCTGGTTGGTAGCAATCTAGGCCACATCTTACACTCCAAATCTTTAATCTGATCTTTCCAGTTTTTCATGTATCCCCACACCGATATACTGCCAAACCTACCAGCATAAAACAATGTCACTAAACTGGTACGTGTTCTTGAAACCTAGGAATCTGGACCTGAAATCCAGGAAGATGCTGCCACCCTGTGGGTAGAACTTCCCACTGCTAGTTCACCACAGGCTGAGCCAAGAATAAAAGTCTGCCTCCAAACCAAGAAGAGATTGATTTCATACTTTGTACATTCTGTGAGAGCACTCATCTTTCACGGTATGGAAGTTCTCTGAAAAGAAATGTTGATATGTATTCATTCCACAAATATTTACTAATTTGTTTTACTATGCACCAGAAATTGTGCTACGACTTAGGGATATAGTGGTTGAAAAAAAAATACAATTCTTCCTCTCTTGGTGAAACTCAGAGACTAAGGGAAGTCATATATACTAAGAGTTACAAATGGACAAATGCTATGAACATAACTATAAATGTTATGAAAGAGCATAATGGGAGAAATGGATTTAGACTGATGGTTAAGAAAGGTCTCTGTAAAGGAAGTATCAAAGGAATTTTCTCAAAGAACTAAGGCTTGAGTAAAAATTAGACTGGAGAAATACAGTGGGTACGGGAAAGTTTCTTGAAGACAATTTATCTGCAAAAAGGCCCAAAAATAGGAAGGAAAAAAAAAAAAAAACACCTTGGGAGGGCTCAAAAAAACTGAAAGACCATGTTACTACAATGTGAAGAGTGATGAATGGTATCAGTTGAGTGGAAAAGGCGGGAGGGCCCATCACACAGGAACCTAGGGCATGTGAAGGATGTGGGATTTAGCTTACTTGTGCTGAACAGCCATGTAAAGATACTGAATGCGGGAAATGACAGGTCTTTATTTAACTTGTAAGATCACTCTGGCTGTGGTGTAGAGAATGGATTAAAGGGTGGGTAAGGATGGAGGACTGGAGATTAATTTGGAAGCTATGGCATGCCTAGGTAAGGGGTGGTGGTGGCTTGGCCTAAGGCAGTAGAAGTGAAAGAAGTGATTGAGTCAAGGGATATTTTACAGGTAGAAATGGCAGGACTTCGTGATGAAATACATGCAGCAAATAAAGTCACAATTTGCTAGAAAGCATAGGTGAGGAAGATCGCACTGAATGATCAATTTATTACCTCAGGAAATTTAAACCTGAGGGATACATAGGAAAGATTAGGCATAAGATAGTACAATGTCCTAACTGGAGGGGATCTCAGGGGGAATCTACTAACTTACTTTTGATTCAAATTTTGAAAATTATGCACTCTACACAGATGTATATACACATACATATAATCCTAGAGGACATTTTAGAAAAGTAAAAACCATCCAGCCTATGTAGAAATCATTATTAACATCTTGGTATATACTACTTCCATCTTTATACACACACAGTGTTGTCACGAACATGTATTCAGGGCTTTTTTTTTTTTGGTACCGGGAATCAAACTTGGGTCCTTGCGCTTGCGCAGCAGGCGGCGAAACCACTGAGCTAAATTCCCAGCCCACAGGGCTTTATTTAACATTCTCCAAATATGTGCTGGATATCTGCTATATACTCAGCCCTGCTCTAACACTGAGAATACATCAATTAAGAAACATAAAGTCACTGACCATAAGAAGTTTATATTCTATAAGGGAGATAGATTATATTTTCAGATAGCAATCATTTTTTGAATAGCAAAAAAGGATAGAATGTGACGAGGGCTACTTCAGATCACAGTTCTGGGGAGACAACACTGAAGCAGAAATCACGAGAGGTGGTAAAACACCATCTGTCATATTCTAGGAATACTGAGAAGTAACTTGGAATCACACCGATACCTACAGTCTATGAAAGCCCTTTCAAATTCATATTTCACAGATGCTTTGCTATTCTAAGGGTCAGCAAATTACCCCTGCTTTTGCATGTAGTTTTATCAGAACATAGCCACAGCCACTCTTTTAGGTACTGTCTATACCTGCTTTCAAGCTATAACAGTATTGTTTCTTTACATGAAGTCTAAAATATTTACTATCTGGCTTGTTAAGTAAAAGTTGGCCATGCCATTAAATATTCCTATAAAATACCATGTTAATGGCTATTTCTCTACTAAAAATGCCCAGCACGATTTCCCTAACTTCTAAGAACCCAACAATGAATGAGTACAGATTCTGCAATCCTAGGCTGGAAGGCAAAATGGACCCAGTGCTGGAGTTACACAGAGAAGATGTTACCTTGCCTGTGAGGTGCAGGTGCTGACACAAAGCTGTCTGCCAGGCACAGACCCAATGGGGATCCTCCAGGTCATGGTAGCAGTAATAAAGCAGCACCTCTCCTTCCTTACAGTCCTGGGCACTACAAAAAGAAAATCGGAGGGAGAGAGCATTGGAGTTGCCAGGATAAGAAGGCCACAGTTTACAAAGTCCACTCAGATGGTATTCAGGTAAGGCAAAGATGGAGCAACTCGTGCCCACCTTTGTTCCTACTATGTTCTCCTGAGATGAGAAGACAATTCTTTTTTGTATTTCCTTTACAGAAGACAGTACATATCTGCACTGAACTTCTTTCTTAACAAAAAGTGAGTTCTCTCCTCCCTTAATGGTCATATCCAAGAGACAGGCATTAATAATTCCATTTTACAGAAAAGCTAAATTTTATTTCATTCTGGCTTATCCACTAACATAAGATAGTACCTATTTTTAATTGCTAATCATACAAAAAAAAACCACTTCCATTTCTTCATATAATCCTCTTACTTATGAGAGGTGATTATTCCCATAGGGCACTTTTACACCTCAGCAATTTCATACTGTTAACAATAAAGCACTCAAAAAGTTCAATCATATTCATCACATTATTAAGAAACTAAAGAGCATAATACAGTTTGACTAAAAAGAAAAAAAGTTAAAAATAATCTCATTTACAATAGCTTCAAAAAAATCACCTAGTAATCAACCTAACCAAGGAGGTGAAAGACTTCCATAAGGAAAACTATAGCACTCTGAAAAAAAAAAAAAGATTGAAGAGGATATTAGAAAATGGAGGGCTGGGGATTTAGCTCAGTGGTTTCGCCGCCTGCTGCGCAAGCGCAAGGACCTGAGTTCGATCCCAGGCACCAAAAAAAAAAAAAAAAGAAAAGAAAAAGAAAATGGAGAAAGACATCCGCTATGCCTGAATAGGAAGAATTAATATTGTCAAAATGGTCAGACTATCAAAAAATGATATATGGATTTAGTGTAGTTCCTATCAAAATACCAACAACATTCTTCACAGAACTAGAAAAACAAAAATTTATATGGAACCAGAAGAGACCCAGAATAACTGAACAATCCTGAGAAAAAAGAGCAAGCAGGAGGTATTACAATCCCAGATTTTAAGTTATACTACAAAGCTGTAGTAATAAAAACAGCACAGTACTGCCACAAAAATAGACTTGTAAACCAACATAATATTAGACACAGAAACTGCCCCATCTACCTTTAGCTGTCTGATCTTTAACAAAGGGGCTAAAAATATACACTGGAAAAAAGACAGCCTCTTTAACAAATGCTGCTGAGAAAAGTAGTTATCTACATGCAGAAGAATGATACACCCATAGCTCTTACCCTGTACTAAAATCATATTGAAATGGATCAAAGACCTAGATATAAAAACAGAAACATTGAAACTGCTAGAAGATAAAATAGAGAAAACACTTGGAAGACACAGGCATAGGCAAAGAATTCCTTAACCGAACTCCAACAGCACAAGACATAATACCATAATCAACATATGGGGTATTAAATTTAAAAACTTCTGTATAGCAAAGGAAACAATCAACAGAATGGGACCATTTTTTGTTTTTGCTAGCTACTCTTCTGATAGAGAACTAATATCTAGAATATATAAAGAACTCAATAAAAATTAGACACTCCCAAAGCAAATGAGCCAATTAAAAAATGGGCAAATAAAATGAATAGATACTTTTCAAAATAAAAAAATACTAATGGCTAAGCAATAAGTACATGAAAAAATGTTCAACACTTTAGCCATTAAGCAAAAAATAAAATCAGAACAACTCTGAGAAGCCACCTTACTCTACTAAGAATGGCTACCATCAAGGACATAAAAACAACAAATGCTGGTGAGGACTGGGGGGAAAAAGGAACCCTTCTACATTGCTGATGGGAATGTAAACTAGTACAACTACTATAGAAGATTCTGCAAAAAACTAAAACTAGAAATTTCATTTGACTCAGCTATATCTCTGGTTATAATGATAATTGCATACCCATGATTATATCAGCATAATTCACAACAGATAAACTATAGAATCAGCCTAGATACCCATGAACAGATGAATAGATTCAGAATATGTGGCATACATAATAGAGTATTATTTGGCCATTAAAAAGGATAAATTTGAGTCATTTGTAGGAAAATGAATAGATCTTGAGACCATGTTAACTGAAATAAGCCTGACGCAGAAATTTAAATATTGTATGGTTGTTTTTTTTTTGTTTGAGAAACCCAACATACAAGAAGTAAAATAAAGGGGAGATGGTAGAAAACAGGGAGATAAGACTTTTTGAAGATGAGGAAGGAGATAAGGGAAAGGGAAGAGAGGGGAGGGTAGAGAGGTGGGGAAAAGGGATCAAATATGATCAAGATATGAGATCAACTTCCCAAAATGAATGTAATTACTATGTATCACAAACAATACCAATAAAAAATAAAAGAAAAAACTTAAAACCACAGAAAATTTAGATGTCAAAAAATTCACTATGTGGGTCCCAATAAATTCTGATAAATGGTTCATTTATCTGGGTTTGCATACATAAACTCATCTAACTGACATGAGTTTTTTCTTTTTTCTTTTTTTTTACTGTTTTGGTTAGTTTTTACCTACTCAATGTATTTAAAAATTTTTAAATGAAGGTATAATTTACAAGTGAAACTCCTAGATTATACATGTAGCTTGATCAGTTTTGATAGTTAAGTATACTTGTGCAATCACACCCCTGTCAAAATACAGAACATTTCTAACATCTCAAAAAATACTCCTGCAAAGCTGGGCATGGTGGCACATGCCTGTAATTCCAGGAAGCTGAGGCAGGAGGACTGTAAATTCAAGCCCAGCCTGGGCAACTAAATGAGACTGTGTCAGAAAAGAAGGAGAGGGAGGGAGAGAGGGAAGAGAGAGAAGAAGGGGAAGAGGAAAGGAAAAAAGAGAAGGAAGAGGAGGGAAAGAAAGGAAAGAAAGAGGAGAGGTAGGCAAGAAGGAGGAAGGGAGGAAGAGGGATGGAGATGTAGTTCAGTGCTAGGGCCCTGGGTTTGATCCTAAACTGGGGGGAAAAACACAACCAAACAAAACAATGCTGTTGTGTATTCCCAGTTAAACCTTCTGCCAGAAGCAACCTTTCTATCATACATTTGTTTTGCCCTTAGGTAAATGAAATCACCAGAAGCAACCTTTTTATCATCATGAATTTGTTTTGCCCTCGTGTACATGAAATCAGAAAGTAGGTCCTTTTAGCTTCTGTGCTCCAGCATGAGGATTTTGTTATTCGCCCATACATAATCTTGCATATCAGCAGCTCATGGTTCAGTATTCATATGAGTATACCAGTTTATCCATTCTCTTGCTGTGGACATTTATAGTTGTTTCCAGATTTTTTGTTATACTTATTACGAATAAAAGTGCTATGAACATTCTTGTCGAAGGCTTTTTTTGGACATGGGTTTTTTTGTTGTTGCTGGTGTTATATATCTAGAAGTGGATCACAGGGAAGATGTCTAATTTTAACAAGAACCTGCTGAGCATTTTTCCAGAGTGGTTGTACCATGCCACATTCCTACCAATAACTGGGTGCTCTAGTTCCTCTATGTTCTCATCTACATTTGCCAAAGTTGGTGGTTCTCATTTTAGCCAGTTTAGTGGGTAAGCAATACTATAATAATTTTAAAATTAAACCAAATTACAGAATGAAAATCTTACCTTATCAGCTGATCAGGGCTAAAGCAGCTTATATCAGGGAGCCAAGCAGACACTTCATGACTATGAGTGAAGTACTCTTTTAGAAGGTTCTTGCTGTCTGCAGACCTAAGACTCTTTGAGGTACTCAATGTCACAGCCATCTGCTTTAAAATAGAAGCAGTCTGGTGATAAATTTCATCAGCATGTTGTGTTGCCACATGTCTATGGATGCTGATTGGGTCCATGAATAGCTGCTGACAGCATTTCCACCATTTTTCTTTACATTCAAAAGGAAGGGCTGGAACTTGTTTGGTTTTGACAAAAAGGGCGAAGGCCTGCAATTATATTATCATTGTTAAATAATTTTAGGTTTATAGTTAATGGAAGTTTCAATGAAATCTTTTACATTATCTTTCTACAGGAGGGTCTAGTTTTATGTTCTATATTCTATGGAAGAATCCCCTAAAATAGTTAAGTTCTCTTATAAGAGAAGCTAAAAATAGTTTTTATATTTTGAAAGTTTAATTGTACCCAGCTCTATAATTTTATTCTCAGGATGTGAAATCTAAGTCATATCAGAATATTTACATTTAATTCAGTTTGGCCTTGTACTGGAATGATAAAGCATGGCATCCTATCTTGGCCTTCTCCCAACTTTTCCTGCACTCTTGTTCCATACCTATCTGACACATGGACAAACCCAGACACATCACTGTTTTCATCTTCCCACTGCTGCCCTGCTGTTCCCAGTGGGTAGGTTGTGGGATTCTAGTGGCCTCTACAGAATCTCTAAAACTTTCAGAATACATTTTAGAGGTCACTTCTGACAGGAAACATTCTATGGTCCTCTTACTAGATGCTATTTCTCCATCTTCTGAATATAAAAATCTCTATTTTTCACTTTTCTACTTCATTGTAAAAACTGGCTCTGCTGTTTACTGTTTGTATCTTTGAGAATACACACAAAACCAAGGAAATTATCCAGCACTTAGGTGCTGAGTTTTCATCTGGAAAAAGCCATAAAGAATTATATAAATGTTAAACAACATAATTAATTTATGTCCTTGTCTGGTACAGACTGTAGATGACATCATTCCTTTGCAATGTGTTTCCCCATCCTGTTTTCAGCCTAACCTTTATTTTTCCTTTCACAATCTTACTAGTAGTTGAATCAAACCAGTCTATTCACTGTTCCCTTAATATGATTTAAACATCCCTGCTTCTATTTTTACTCATACTAATCTTAGTGTCTACAACACTCTTCCTCTTTGAAGGCCACTAAAATCTTACCTAAATGAAAAGATTAAGTCTTACGAATATGTCAGTTCTTTAAAACATATATTTAATGCAATTATAGCCAAAACTGGACAAGAATCTTTAGGAAGTTGGCAAGATTGTTCCAAATAAAAATCTTTTACTGCCCATCAAAATCCACTTTGTTTTCTTCCTGGGAAAATGATATTTCCTAGCCTTTTCTGCAGTTAAGCTTGGCTACAGTAACCAAGTTTTTTCCAATGGAATATAAATGGATGCAACATGTGTCAACTCCAGTTCTGGTCCATAATAACCTCCCCTGTGTGCTCCCCTATGCTCTCTTCCTTAGATTACTGTCATGAAAGCCCTGGAAGCTATGTGTTAAAGACTACAATAAAACATCATTCTCAGTCTCTGAAAACCTGTATGTTGATAAAAATGAGCCCCCCACACACCTCTCAAGCCCAAAGTAATTCTAATGTGTTGAACCCACAACAGATTGGGTCTGTTTGCTATTGTAGCCTAGGCCACCGTGATTAATAAATGAAGAAATTCTGTAAGAGCAATGAGAAAAAACTTAATATACCAGATAAAAACATATTTTAGAATTATGATAAGCAAGTGCAGCAGTAATCCATTCTGATAGGTACATTTAAAAAACCAAAAACATAAATAGATCATGAACTTTTACTCCTACATCCAATCTATCAGCTGTACTTCCAAAATATATTCATAAGCTTTCCTTTGTTTTGTTTTTGAGACAGGGTTCAGGCTGGCCTTCAACTCATTCTGAAGCCTGGGCTGGCTTCAAATTTGCGATGATCTTCCTGCTGCGGCCTCCCAAGTGATAGGATTATGGGCATGCACCATCATGCCTGCCTCAAAATATCACCTAACCACTTCTTATCACTTCCTTTGGCTATTAATTACTCTGTTTATTGAAGCCAACATCACGTTTTCCCTCGATTACTGCAATAGTCTCCTACTTTCCCTCTTTCCATTTTTATCCCCATAATTTATGTTCCATTCAGCCAAAAAGATATCTAAATCAGATGTCATTTCTCTGCTCAAAATCCTCCAAAGGCTCTTTCCTCCTCACTAGCAAAGTCCTTACGATGGCCTACAAGTCCAACATAACATGGTTCCTTATACTACTCCAACCTTATCTTCTATCATTCCAGCCTCTGGACAAAGGGAATATGTGTGCCATTCATATAATTCTTATAATTTGCTATGAGTCAAAATTACTGCAAAATAATAGTTAAAAGACTTTTCTGTAACCTTTAAGTTTCATTTTCAAGGAGAACTGTACAAGAAAAGAGTGGAGAGGTGGCAGCTAAGAAGTTACAGAGGCATCATTCTTCACTGACATGGAGCCAAAGATGGCTCTGTAAGAGAAGACAAAAGATTGAAGGCAAAACAACTAAGTCTCAGTGGCACTTCCTCACCTCATTTTCTTTCTTTTCTGAGCCTTAGGCTTTCTACTGTTAAAAGGAGAAGGTTTTAGTCAATAGTTTCGAAGTGGGGGGGGGTGGTAAATGGCATAGAAGAGCACCATCAATACCATCTACTCTCCTCAAATACTCCACCATAACTATCCAGGATCACACCCTGCCCAGGATTCTCCTTTGCCTGGTTAATTCTCCTGATTAAACTATTTCTTGAGCTGGAGGCCAATCTCGCTGAGTTACTTCTAGTACCTGCATTAACTACATATACATAATCATGAAAACTTCAACAGTAATCTTACCTTTTTCTTTGCAAATGAATATTTCTTCTTTGTAATGCCATCTAACTCTGCTTTGAGATTGATGCTAGGATGAGTAAGATTTGTATCTTTTAAATCCAAGTCAGAAAATCTTAAAACACAGGCCTCCTGGTCACTCCCTTGGTCTGAAGAAGTGGAAGAAGGCATCTAGTTCGGTTGTAGCAGTGAGGCAGACTTTTAGTTAAGTACCTGCTAGGATATAAGCAAAGGAGAAACAGCAACACCAAAGTCTTTAGTTACTTCTTGAAGCAAATATGAAGCTAATTGAGCCAGGGATTTTGCTCAGTGGTGCAGCCACCTGCCTTGAAAGTGGAAGGTCCCAAGTTCAATCCCCAGCACCAAAAGAAAAAAAAAAAGAAGCTAATTAATCATGCAACTTGATTTGCCCAGTAGACCAAGCTATCTATCCATTCATTCATCCAACAGTATTTATTTAATAACTATGTAATGCTAAGCACAGTTCTACATACTGGAAATATAGCAGTGAAAGAAACAGGAAAAAGTCACAGTCTTCTTAGAGTTATATGCCATTGGGAAGAAATAATTTTTTTTTTACTTTTTTTTTTTTTACACCGGAGATTTAACTTAGGCCCTTGTGTTTGTGAGGCAGGCAGTGGCACCACTGAGCTAAATCCCCAGGGAAATAATTTTTTTTAAAGTCAGATGGGAAAGGGTTATAAAGAAAAACAGTTAAGAAAACAAAAGGATGGAAGGTCTCTTTAAACACAGAAGGTAAGAAAAGCCTTTCTAGGGCAGTAGAGTAGCATTTGAGCAAAAACATTTATTAGGCAGCAAGCCACAGAAATATTTAGAGTAAATGGAACCAGAAAAGCACTACTTAAAACCAAAATCAATCAAGCTATATGCCAGTACCTTATATTATGAATACTTCGTTCTTTTTCCTCCTAAATTTCAGAGCCCTTTTAATTTTCTTTTTTGAGACAGGGTCTCGCTATGTAGTTCAGGTTGGCCTGGAACTCACTATGTAGCCCAGGCTGGCCTCAAACCTGCAGTGAGGGATCCTCCAGTCTCGGCCTCCTGAGTGCTGGGATTACAGGCATACACCAAGCCTGGTTCAGAGCCCATTTTAATGAGCCAGAGTATCAATATTACTACTGTGGCTAAATCTTGTCAAAATGGATACACTACAACCAATATACTGCATTCTTGCTTTTACATAGTAAAGAAAATGTTACAAGTAACAAACACTAACAGGAGGCAACATGAAGCCCTGAGAAAAGCATGCTCTTTAACTGCAAGTATGTAAATCTAGGCAAGCTATTTACGTCTTCTGAGTTCTAATTCTCTGATCTGTAAACTGAGGATAGCAGTATCTAATTTACAGGACAAGAAAGGGTTCAGTAAGTAGTAACACTGTTATAAAACATTTCAACCTAATTTAACACTGTATTTTACATTTAACATTAAAGATGGATTTCTCCAAAAATTAGCTATAGATTTTATTTTCTAAAACTAGCCATAGCCATTCCTAGTCTATTTCTCTACTCTCCAAGCTTATATCGCCCCATAACTGCTCCCGAAATAAAACATGATAGAAGCAATATTGTGTAGCTTCTAAGGCTGTGTCCTAAAAAGGATATACTTGCACTGGCTCTTTGCTTTTAGGATGTTCACTCTGAGCCCAACCATTATGCTGAGTTACAACCAATCCAGCTCACAGAGACCACATACAGGGAACCACGCAGGGAGGAACTGAGGCTTTCTGCTGACAGCCAAGGCCAATTGCCAGACTCAGGTGGTTCCAGCCTCTGCTTTTGAGCTGAAAACAGAGACAAACCGTCTCTGTTATGCCCTGTCCATCTTCCTGGCCACAGAACACTAAATCATTATGTCACTAATGAATTGGTAAATTTGTCTCCTAAAAACAACCTTGAAGGAGGCAGCCTGAGGTGGATACTTGAGGTTCGGAAGAGTGGTAACAAGCAGAGGTCCCATGTTCCAGAAGAGGGTACAGAGAAAGACTGCCATGGAAAATGAAGAAAATGTGGTACTAGGCACTGAACCCAGGAGCTCTGTACTGAGCTCCCAGGCCTTTTTTATTTTGGGACAGGGTTTTATTAAGTCACTAAGTTGCTTAGGCTGGAACTTAAAATTGCAATCTTCCTATCCTTCTGCCTCAATCTCTGAGAATGCTGAGATTATAAGCATGTGCCACTACATCCAATTTGTGGGATGTTTCTTTTGTTGTTTTGTTTTCTTTTGTTTGTTTTGTTTTTTGAAACAGGGTCTTGCTATGTAGTTCAGGCTGGCCTTGAACTCACTATGTAGCCCAGGCTGGCCCCAAACTCATGGCAATCCTACTACCTCAGCCTCCCAAGTGCTGAGATTACAGGTGTACGCCACCATGCCCAGATTGTGGGATGATTCTTGGCTCCTAATTTTCTCACAAAATTGTCTAGCTTTTCAGAAAATCCTATCAAGTTCGCTTTAGGATTACCTTGATCACTACCCAATTTTAAGGCCCCAGCATTTCTTGTTTGAATTACTGTAACAGTCTAACTGCCTTTTCCCTGCAATCAGGAAGATCACTATTTTTAAAAAGTTAGATTGTCTTCTAAAGGTTTCTCAACTTAGTAACATCTAAAGTCCTTAAAAAGTCCCTTCCCCTTACTTTTCTGATCTCATTTTCCACTACTCTCCCTTTGCTCATTACCTCAGATTGCATTATAGTACTTATGCCTATTCTTTAATGGGTCATTCAGAACATTAGCACCAAGACAGCATGGGTTTTCCTTTGTTCCCCTGCATCCTCAGCACCTAGAACACTCCTAAATGTTAATAAATACAGCATACTTGTTGAATAAAACATGTCACTGAATAGTCAAGGAAATACGTCAATAAGGACCAGACGGTTGGGGTGAAACCTCAGCCAAAGTAAGCAGAAGTCAGCTGTGGAGATTTAGGAGCAGAGACCTTCAGGTAAAGGAAATAATGAGTACAAATTCTTAAAATGGGAACAAGCTTGACTTATCGGAGAGAGTGGCTGGAGCAAAGTGATGAGGTCAGAACCCTACTGGCCATGACTGGGAGTTTGGAATGGAAATTTCATGAAGAGCTTTATACAAAGAAGTAGCGAGATCTGATTATGGATTTGCTTTAAACATACAGCCATTAGGGTTTATGGAAAAATGGTCATGTAAGAAAGGAAAAGATACTAGGAATGATTCCTCCCTAGGTTTTTAGACTAAGCAATCGAAGGATGATGCTGTGTACCGAAATGGGTAAGACTGAGGGTGCAATAGTTTAGGCCAGGAGAGTGAAATTTCAAATAACCGTAGACAAGGCGGTGTGGTTTATACTCATCAAAGACATCAGGACAAGGGAATTCAGATAATGTACACGTTAAGTTACCCAACAAATATTAGAAATAAACTGTAACACTGAAAATAATCATTTGTTCCTTCTTAATCAAACAACTCGGAGGTGAGCGGCAAGACTACCAGTGCAGCCAGCTCGCGTCGCGGCGGGTCTGTCCATCCCAGGAGAAGGCTTGGGCGGCGCCACTTTTCGCCCAGGCACCAACCCACGCGCCCGACCTGGTCCAACCTCCCTGGCGAGCTTCCAGAGGCGACAGAGGCCGGGAGGTGGGAATAAGATGAGGACGTACCCGCCGGTCCTGATCTTTTCCAGTTCGGCCTTGGACGAACAGCATCAGCCCAGAAAATGTCGCGGCTCCCCGCCCTCTATCCTACAGACCCGCCAGGGGCCTGCGTGGAGGGACGCTCGTGACGTCACCGCGCTCCAGAAGCCTTCGCGGGAGTAAGCGCAGGGACCGCCGGGAAAACGTCGCGAGGGGCCAGGCTGAGGCGACGACAGGGGTCGCTCCTGTGCTTCTCGCATCCAGACCTGGTTCGCGGCCGGCGGGCTCTGGCTAGCTGCAACGGCGGCGCCTTCTGCGTGGCCCCGGAAGCACTCAGTGCAGAAGGCGGGAAGAGGAAGCAGCCGGCAACAGAGGAAGCTCTAGGGGGCGGCTGCATGCGGACCAGTCTCCCCGTAGCCCGGGGAGCCTGCAGACGCTGGTCCGGCCTGGCCCAGCCCACCCAGCGGGGTCTCCGCTCGCGTTTCCGGGAGCCGGCACGACCGAGTGCGCCTGCGCGCCGTCCTCTCCGCGCGCCTCGTTGGTTCTGGGCGCCGGCCGGCGTTCCGGCTGATTCTGTGGTGCCCCGGGTTCAGTGACTCGGCCCGGCCGCGCACCAGTTGGCAGTATGTCGCGGCGGCGGCACAGCGACGAGAATGACGGTGAGTACACTGGGCTGGGCCGCCGAGTCCCTTCCCAGCCTTCTTTGGTCTTCGGATCTCCGGGCAAGGGACGGAAAAGAAGCCCTTTTCTCCCACGGAGCTTTTGGGTTGCCTTTCAGGGAAAGCACTGACCCCATGAGGGTGTGGCCGGTCGGTGTCTGTAAAGTGACTCCCTCGCCACGCCCCCGGCTCCTTCTGTCGTGGGAAAGGAGGCCTAGTAAACCCCGTAGACAGACCCTGGTCTCTAGGAACTCTTGGATTTGGCCCTACACGGCCAAACAGGGAAGGTCACCTGTGTCTGCTGCTGCCCCTTAGGATCAGTGATGGGGGCATACTGGTCCCTGCGTTTTGTTTGAACCCTCAAAGCTGTGTCTGAAAAGGGCTTTCTGAAGACTTCTGAAGGAAAGAAACAAAGCCGTGATAAAAATCCGATGGATTGCCATCTGAACTCCACTTCTGTACCAGTCATACATTGATTTATCCTCTTTAAGGCTGCAGGGAAAGAATTTTGTCTCTTACATCCGAGAAGTCGCTAATAAATAGACACGTGTTACGTTAGATTGGCCTTAAGCGTATTTGTCCCATGTCAGAAGGCGCTGGGAAACTAACTGGAGAAGACCTGAGGTTCTTGTGTACGTTTGAATGGTTGTGTTCGTGGAGGTCATAGTGTTGCCGTCTTAAAAGCTAGGAATAATTTTGCTAGTTTATTTTTTTACTAGTATATGTTTGCAGTACAAAATGATTACATTCATCGTGGGGAATTGGTACATGTATATAACACATCTCAATTCTTTTTCATGCCCTTCCCCTCTCCTCCGTCCCCTTCCCCTTCCCTTCCCTTTTGAAATTTTTGCTGGGGTTTTTTTTTTGTTTTTGTTTTTGTTTTTTTGGTACCGGGGATTGAGCTCAGGACCTTGAGCTTGTGAGGCAGGCGGCGGAACCACTGAGCTAAATCCCTGGCCCTTTGCTAGTTTAAATAGAAAAAGATGCTTGCTTTAGTAAGCATTACAGTCAGGAACACACATCCACATACAAAACAATGAAACTTAAAAGTAATTTTGTTAATATTTTATGCTGTTATTCCTTGAGGAAAGTGTCTCACAGTGGGTTGGGACTTTGGGAGCAGTGTTTAGGTTCAAAGCCAGACTCTACTATTTACTTTATGATCTTGCCTAGGTTGTATAACTTCCTTAAGCCATAGACCTTAATATGAAGTAATGATATTTACCTCTTCTGTTTTCTGCGAGGGTTAAATGAGATACCTACCTAGTGGCACCATGATGGTGTTTTATCTTTCTGTTAATTCTTCAGAGATGACACTGGCAGAGGCCAAGAGATTAAGAAAAAGCAAAAATGAGGTTTCACTCTTCAGTTAAATCTGGCTTTGCACTCACTTTCCAGCCCAGCTGGCCTCAAACTCATAGTGATCCCCCTGCCTCAGCTTCCCAGTGCTGATATTACAGGCCTGAGCCCCCACGCCAGGCTCAAAATTTTTGCGTTTTCTCCCCTAATATTTTTCTCTCCTGGAACGTTGAAACAGTTAGGGATGGTGACAGAATTACATGTATTATTTTAACAGTAAAACAAGATTTGTGCTAGGATATGGCTTAAGAGGATATTCTAGTCAAGGCTTCTAATCTGACATGTGAAGGTCTGTATCCTTGAGTGTCATTAACAGGGAGACACAGCTATCAGCACCCAGACATCTCAGCAGGAGCAAGTCCAGGCTTTCCACTACAGAGATGCAACTGCACTGCATGCTTTGAATTCCCCCCACCCCCAGTACTGGATATAGAATCCAGTGTCTTCACAGTGAGCTACATACTCAGCCCTTTTTTTATTTTGAGACAGGCCTTGTTAAGTTTCTCGGTCTGGGCTTGGACTTTCTGGCCTTCTGCCTCAGCTTCCCAAAGTTCTGGATTATAGGTGTGCACTATCGTGCCCAACTCAGTGTGCTTTAATTTTTAATGTGTAGACTTCTTGGATGTATTCTGTTAAGGGATCCAGAAAATACAAATTTTATATTCTTTGTATTGGACTAATAAAAAACGATTCTACATGAAGTTACTCATTAGGTTTTAAAGAATTTGGGTCTTTTTGTTCTTCCCTTTTTCTTTCCTCTGTCCATTCTCCATCTCACTTCTTGGGGATCCCTAAAGGGATGTCACCAGAGTGCAACTTGAGAACTGGAATGTGGATATGTGGAAAAACAACTTTTGTGTTGGTTATTAGGAGGTTTGCCTAACTTACTCCCAGCTGGCAGCTAAACCATTAGGTCTAATAGGAACCCCAGGGTACATAAGACAAAGAAATGTAAAATAAGGCATTCATTAAGCATAGTTTGTTATGGGGTTAATGATTTAGTTGTGGAGAGCCAGTTTATAGTTTCTCTGAAAATACACCAAATCTGGAATTTTTGTAAATTGCCATAATAGGTAATGAACAGCTAGAATTTACTCTAAACAGTGATTTAAGTCAGATATTTTGGTTGCTTTCCTTTTAGTTAAGCATCTATGAAATTTTTTAAAATAAGGAATATTGGAAGCTAAATATTTTAGAAAACTATTTTAAAGTATAGTAAGACTTATTGCAGTAAGAATTAGATATATCTGGCCTGTTTGAATCATTACAACTCCTAACAATCACTGACTGCCCTGACTTTCCATATGTTTGTCTGTAAACAGTTGGCCCTCTGCATCTACTCTTTTTTTTGTTTGTTTGATACTGGGGATCGAAGTTGGGACCTTGGCGCTTGTGAGGCAGGCAGCAGAACCACTGAGCTAAATCCCCAGCCCTGCATCTACTGATTTTACATCTTGAGAATCTACCAACTGTGTTTGAAAAATGATTGGGAGGAAAATTGTGTCAGGACTGAAACCACTTTTTTTCCTTGTCATTATTCCCTAAACAATGTAGAATAACAACTCTTTACATAATATTTATATTGTATTAGGTCGGTATTGTAAGTAACCTAGGGATGATTTATTTTAGACATTGTCTTACTTTTCTCTTTGCTGAGACAAAATATTCAACATCCAAAGTTAAAGGAAGAAAGGTTTATTGGAGCTCACATTTTGTAGAGGGTTCAGTTTATAGTTTGGTGGCTTCAAGGTGCCGTGGCATGTCAGAGGGGATTACAGAGGAGAAATAGTTCGTGGTGGGCAGACAGGAGACAGCAAAGCAGCAAGCAGCAGTAAGCAGTGAGGCAGAAGCTTCTCCCTTTTGTCCCTTTAGGGTTGCCCGCCTTTTGGGTGGTGCCACCCACACCCAGGGTGAGCCTTCCCATACACACCCATAACTATCTTAACCAATCAAAGGACTAATTTAATCCCAGCATCACACCACTGAATTCCAGCATCATATGCCTTAGATCCAGCCACCTCTGAAAAGCCCCACCTGTGAGTGCATGAAGATTTGGGGGGACATCTAGATACAAGCCATAACGGATACATATGTGTAGGGTATATACAAATACTATGCCATTTTACATAAGGGACTTGAACATCCTCAGGTTTGGGTATCTGTTGAGGATGAGGAGGATAGTATCTGGAAAACCAGTCCTCCTCAAATACAGAGGACAACTCTAATCAGGACTTGTCAAGCAGTCTTCTAACTACTTGCAGTATAGCAGTTGGCAATATAAAGGTGAACCACCCCCCACCCCAGCACTATGGAGAGAAAGCCTGGTAAAGGATGTAGAAACTCCTGTGAGAGAGTTGTTGGTCAGGAAAGGCCTTGCTGAGGATGGCATCTGATCAAAGACCTGCAGGATATAAAGGAGCAAGCCATATGGTTGTATGGGGAAAGAAGTAATCCAAACAAAGGGAACTATGAGTGTAGAGGTCTTAAGGGCTGACCATTGTTTTATTTTTGCAGTACTGGGGATGGCACTGAATTACATCTCCAGTGATTTTTTTTTCCTCCAGCAATTTAAAAAAAAAAAATTATTTAGAGATGAGGATCAGTAAATTGCCCAGATTGTGCTTGAATTTTTGATCTTCCTGTCTCAGCTTCCCTAGCAGTGGGGAGTTACGGGCATAGGCCACCATGCCTGGTGGCTAGAGCATTCTTGCCATGTTCATCGAACAGCAAGAAGGCCAGGGTGCAGAAACAGTAAGGTAGAAGGAAAGACAGGATAGGCAAGAGAATAGAGAATCAGATTTTACTGGGCAGTTTTAAGATTTGTCTGTGCTGAGAGCAGACTATCCAAGATCCTGGAGATGAGGCCTGGAGTATACAAATGAAGTTCCTGTACAAGTCAATTTACAGGCTAGGAAAGGGAAGTCCTATGTGGAAAGTTACGTGTGTGCATAGTAGTCTGGTGCTAAATATAACGCATTTCTTAGACTGAAAAATGTCTCTAAAGCTTTTCAGTTACCATAGGATATGTATTTTATAAGTGTTAAATACATTTTTTTCTGTGAAGGAGTTTAGATTCTTCAAAATATTAGCTGAAAACCTATGTACCTCCATTTAAGCTAGACTTAGGTTAGGTCTTTTTACTTAACTAGAAAAAATAAATGAATAGAAGTAAAGGCATTCATTTTTCTTTTCTTTTATTTATTTATTTATTTATTTTTTTGGTACCAG